CTATTTTCCAAACACCACTAAGAGGTTAGAGTGTCTGCTGCTCATTTAAGAAGTCTTTTCCTGATCCAGTCTTTGACAGATCCCCATGATTGGCATTTCTAGGTTAATAGTTACCTATATTATCCTTTTCTTTGCAAGAAATTGAATAGCAGCAAATTTCTCTATCTTGAATTGCAGCCAGATTCCTGAAATGGAGAGAAAGAATGTGTAGGAACATTTCATTATTAGTATACAATGTACTTTCCTATTCTATTCTACATTAGGCACTTATGCTAATGGAGGCTAACAATTTCCAAGACATTACTGCTCGATCTCAGTGCAAGCTTATTTGTTTCTCTATTGCTTTTCATATTACAAGCTGCAACTAGGAAGACACCATAGCAACAAGCTGAAACTTACGGGTTATTTTTATGGCTTAAGAAACAAAAATTTAATTTTGTGAACAAGCTTCTGGGTAAATCACTCTTAATCACATTTTCTAATACTTACATCTTTTCAATTAGCTGTTTTTCATCCAAGGCATTTGGAAGGTCCCTCTTGTTTCCAAGTACTAAAACCTGGAAACAGTAATAAATAGGTAATGGAGTCAACAAGCAAGATGCATACTGTACTACAAAACACAGACCCGCCTGTCACTTGCAAGGCCCTACATAGATGTTAGGAAGTGAGGCAGGACTAAGGCATGCATGTCAAACTCAGACCAGATGAAGGGCACACAACCAGTCTTCAGGCTGGACTGGACCCATGCAGAGACACAAAACAGGGCCAGCTTGGTGCAAGCACCTGGATCAGCCCCATGTGCAGCTCATGCCAATCTGGGCCTTGTCTGTGGAACCAGCATGAGGCACAGGCTGCAAGAACCCCATGGGCTGGCTCTGGTGTGTGGGGCAAGTCTGTGGGTCCAATCCAGATCAGCACTGTAGCCGGTGGGCAGGGCACTGCATGCAGTATACACCCCCAGTCCAACCTCATGTGCTACACGTGCTGGTCCCAATCCAGGGCTCACACTACATGCAGGGCCAGCATGGGGCATGTACGCCAGACTGACCCTGCATGGTGACTCTGGTATACAGGGACAGTGTGCACGCCTGACTAGGACAAGCCCTAGAAACAGTGCACAGGGCCAGTCCAGCATAGGTGCCACCTGCAGCATGCACCCCAGATTGACCCCACACTGTATGCAGTGACCACGGCCCTGGGTCTAGTATACACTGCATGCAAAGCACAGGGTCAGCCAGAGATCCACAGACTGAGATCCACAGGCCAGATCATAAGGCTCTGGGGGCCAGATCCTGCCTACATCTTTGACATGCCTGGGCTAAGACATTCACACCTTCTCCCCCGCACCCCTGGAATTATGGTAGTGAAGCCTCCAAAACATTTAATCCCCAAAGCCCAACCAAGATTGAGAAGAAGTCAGAAGCATTTCCTTCAGAAGCTCCTCCAAGACATTTGCCCAAGCCTCCAGAAACTGCTATTGAGGACAATCATCTAGTCTTACTTCACTTTGCTTTTCAAACCCACACTCTGGGATGTCTGTTTGCCTTACCCTTCAGTTTGATCAAAGGAGGGAGCCTTTTAACTGATTGCCTATTTGGTCCCAGAGTAAACCCAGTAACCAAAGATCTGACAGCTGCCTCTCTTTCCCATGATGTTTTGCACTACAAGTAGCATACTAACTTTGCTTTGTGTGGCAGGACCATCTAGAAGCCCAAGTCAAAGCAGAGACTATTGCACAAGGCACTTCATACACACATGATCCCAACTCCCCCACAAGTCCCTAGGGGCTTGCTTGTATTAGGCACTGAATAAGAATGAAAAAGATAGGAGAGAAGTCTAGTCTGAAACAAAAGATGCATCAGAAAAATGCACTGGGGAAGTCACTACTATCTGCATAATATCATTTCACAGACCTCATCTTAAGCTGTCCAGTTAATCAAATCTGACTGGAATCTACTAGGCCTCCACCCAAGTGCACGTGATGTGGAACATGCACCCTTAAAGCAGAACTATGCATTACTTACAGGGATTCCTTGTAATTGTGGTTTGTCTAGAAGATTATGCAGCTCATTTCGAGAGGCTTCTATCTTTTCACGATCTGCAGCATCTACCATGTACCTTTAAAAACAATTTTTAAAAAGTAATCATTCAGTGACTCAGACAGGTCTACAGGCATACTCTGCAAAGTACCATTAGACATGCTTATTTTAGTCTCAGACTATTTTGTTAAAAAAGGTGTAGTAGAAAGGGTACACATTCTTCTCAGTATGCCGTCCCAGTATTTAAGAGTTGTAGACTCAGCTACATTTTTAATCTCAACTATACACCTAGGGTCAGGCAGAAGATTTCTAACTGCCAGAAAGTAACGTGCAGCAACAAGGCCTCAATTTTCTTTACTCCCCTGATGAGAAATGGAGACTAAAGTTGAGTAAGCTGCTATCATGCTTTAAGATAGAGTTTACCCAGCTAAGTTTCTCATCTTGCCTGGCAGTTTACAAACAAAGATCAAGCAGCCTAGGGAAGTCTCCACTCACACAATAGCATTGACTCCTCTGCAATATCTCTCCCACATGCTTCGGAACCGTGGCTGCCCTCCTATATCCCAGATCTTAAGAGAAAAAAAAAAAAGAAAGTTTAAACAAGCTATTTAGTTACAGAAAGAAGTTTAAACACATTACATCTCATGGGTATTAAAACAGGTACACTGAGGCACTGGACAATATCTTGTCATTTCTACTCATCCTAAGTTATCAATTTTTTAAAACTAAGGCCATTTCTACTGCATGGAAGAAGCTATTTCTGGCGAGGGTCACCTCTTCATAAACCTCCTCTTAACTTAGAAGTTAACAGGACAGGCTTGCAAACCCATGGTAGAACAGGAAGTATGTAGGCCAGTTCAAGTATTAAATTCTGTGCAAGAATATCTGCTTCCAAGGTAACAATATTAGTTAAGAGCCCCCTGAACAATGCAGGCTGACATTAAGGCTGGTAGGTATGACATTTTATAATGTTGTTCCACTGCAGGCTGGAATGGCAATTATGCCAACTAAATTAATGTTTTACATGCTAAATTAGGACAAGCCTGCTTTTTCTTTTTTAGCTAGCTGTACATATTTTCATACAGAAGGGCCCAAAAATATTGAAGGGGAGATGAGCATGCATTTCATTTCCATCCCCAGGCACCTGAATGAGTTAAAAAAGAAATGCATTTGTAATTTCTCTACAACATCTGCAGCTCAGACACCAGCCAAAGAGCAATCAGTAGGTGGTAGGTAGCAAGGGAGGGAGAGGGAAGTGATGCAACTAAATGCAAGACCAAAGAAAAAGCCCAAGTAAGAGATCAACCTGGTTTTCTGAAGACTCAGTTTACAGGGCTCTGACTGACTAAACTGGATTGCTCTTTTACAAGCTGTTTTGAAGAGCGTAGAAAGACTTTTAGCATACCTTTATTGTGACATTACCCTTGGTAACCTTCCTCATGTTGAAGCCCACCGTAGGGATCATATCTTCACTGAACTGGCCTGACTAGAGATTAAGAAAAAAGAGAGAAATAGACAACGCACATTAGATCTAGCCACAAAGAGAGACAAAATGTTTAAAGTAGATAATCTTCAACATTGATTTTTACAATGTACAAGTAGGAAGAAGCTTACTATTTGTCCTCAGAAGACAGGATTTTAAATGCACCAAGTACTGGGGTACATGCATAAATACAAGTCTTATCTTCCACTTCTAGCCATAATTTTATGCTGCTTCTTCAGATCTGTTCAAAAGTCCCTCATTCACTAAATACAAGTAGTGTCTGGAGATAGTGCCTGGCTAGACAGAATAACTGAGTGGCTTAGCTATATAAAAGACATGCCAGTATTTCTTGTAATGGACCTGGGACTTCTACTTGTGCTGTATGGGAACTCACTGGATCATCCTGGGAGTTAGGTCCATCACTTCAAGACATTCCTTCAGCTGCGCAAGAGATGTTGTTGGGCAACAAGTACAGAGGCTCTTAACTCCAGTTTGAAACAGAAAGAAGGCGTGGGGGGGGCAGGGCGGAGGGGGAAGAGA